GTCACGGTTGAGGCTAACAGTAGGCCTATGGTACAGAGGCCGAATATCTTTGTTATTTACCTCCAACACCGAATACCCAAACTATGAAAAAATGAAGTTATGCTGGTAGTTAGGAAAAGGCGATACCATTTATTTTCGAAGCAGTAAACTGACTCCATATCGTCTTCCCTGTTTCCATTTTGTTTCCCAACGAAACATTGAGGGTTCAACATTATCCTAGCTTGTTTGGCATTAGCATTGATAACGCAGCCATAGAACGCTTGAAGCCAGCCAAGGAGTGCAATTCAATGAGACTGCAAGGCGAGGCGTTGAGCGGTTTTTAACTCAAAGATATATGATCAGCAACATATTATGTACTTTAAACTAAGTAATTAATTCTGACATCATATATGCTAAACGTTGTGACTAATATTGGCAAAATGGGGAAGGGGGTTTCTCCTTTGTAATGCCGCATAAATATGCTAGGAATGTTATAATTATACTCTTTTATATTTCCTTATCTGGAAATGCTCAACTTTTAGCAGTTTTAGGAAAGAAGGTTGAGCTAAATAAGGGTTTTCATTGTTGTTTTTAAACTACAATTTAAATTCGGAACACTTGGAGGCGATCTACTTGGGAAGTTGGAATGCTTCACATATTTGGACGCTAAAAAAAGCAAAAGTAATTTCCACCTCGATCCTGACAAGTAACAGCTGTGCTTGCTTTGAGATTATTTTAGCGCAGTGTTCTTGCAGACGCCTCTACCATTGATGCACGTGGCTAACTACTCATTTACTGCTCAAAATGGCCCACGGGTCATTTTTCACGTAATTGTTATCTTTAGCGATGTCCTATATTGCTCGCCACACATACACGGTTTGTGCTTGTGAGCTTCTCACGCAAACTATTTCGCGTGGCTATGAGTGAAATTTGCGTGGTGACAATATGTCAGCTTCCTGAATCGGTAAATTAATTATATAATTAAGTTTGCAAATTCGACGCATATAGGGTTTCCTCACTGCAAATTAAGAAGGCAAACGTCTGAAAACTAGAATAATATTTTGCTAAATTGTTTTAATTCATTAATGTGATTTCTGCAGCAGGATCTTCCAACGGCTTACACTGCATTAAAAAACTACTATGCAGCTTTTTAGCTTAAATTTAATAGTAGCCTAACGAGTTTCTGAAGCAACGCAATACAAATAATTCGCATTGAAAGCCCGATGAATGATGCATTTTGTTTTTTCCCGCGATACATATTTAATTGTTATTAATTAAAGTGAGGTTTTGAGGGAACTGTAGATATATGACCGTGTTTGTTTCGAGACGACGAATGAAAGAACAAGAAATTTGTGCATGTTTTGCACATGCACGTATATATATTAGAAATGAGAATCATTTCTGTGTGACGTGCATGCGTTTTGAAAAAGTATTTACGAGCCAACCCACAAATATGTCTTATTATATGCTTATAGCCAAGCTTATAGTTACACGTGTTTACAGTTTTTAATATAGCTGAGAATCAGCCTGAGATGGTGTCGATCGATTCATCACTGCAATGAATGTTTAGTGGGTGATTGGGTGGAAATTCCATGAATGTATGAATACCACATTGTGGTTTAATGATGCCATGAACTCTGCATTGTGTTTAAACTACATTGACATGTTTAATACACATTGCCTTAATGTCAGCACTAATATATTTGATGGAATCATTTCATAAATTAATTTAACGTAGAAAGCTTCTGCGCTGATTGCTTCGAATTTCCGGTTGGATTGCTCCGTTTTTTGGCATCCATCTTGACCAAAATTACTTGCCCATCGTAAATGATTCGATCTTAAACTTCTTTCTGCTATATAGGTGTAGGCCTATCTGATTAGAATTGTATGTTTTAACATGATCAGAATATATTATCTTTATTCCCATTAACATTCGGATACCTGCAAATTTTAAATTGCATTCACAAATATCTCACATACACAAACTGACTAACACTATAGACAGTAACAAGAAAAAAACTAAAAATTATCTTTTGAGTGAGTATATAGGCAGGGCCCAATTTAGACATGTGGAGGCCCATAGGCAGCCATCATTTATGGAGGCGCCCCCACTACCTTAGAAAAAAATACTAAAAACTAAAAGGTAACAATTAAGACATAGATACATATCATGTGTATAGTGCTATCTTGCAAAATAACAAAGTTAACTGCAATAAGAGAGAGAATATTAACTACGTTGAACCGTTGGTACGTTTCCCCCTGTAGTTGACTACGGGTATACCATTCACAAACAAATACAATATGGGTTATGCCGCTATGTCATACGTATGTAAGATGTAAAATGCGCGCAATAACGGTTTGGTTTTGATTGATACGGGTTGCGTGCATGTCATTCAGGTCAGCCTATATTTTTCCTTCACAATTTTTTTTTTATTAAATAATGTGGAGGCCCCTGGTTTGTGGAGGCCCGTGGGCAGCTGCCCACTCTGCCCACTCTTAAATCGGGCCCTGAGTATAGGCCTACACTGTGATACAGCGCTTTTTATGACAATTACATGTATCTGTAATGCTACTGATTGTCATATGAATCTAGCATTGACGTTGAGCTAAGAACTTTTCATAACGCCTTTTAGATTCACCCTTTTGATCCAACGTGAATTAAATGTGTAATGCACGAACAGAAACTTTTGTTTCTCAGATGTTTTTCCGCATTTTAGATATAAAAATGCTAGCTGTTTCCATGATTATAAGCCAAGTACAATCCGGAGTAAATAATCTTAAACCTGGAATTATCACCTGAAATTGTGGTTACTATTACTTATACATATGGTGACAACATTGAGATCGTGGCGGCAATGTACGAGGTGGTGGCGTATTCCCTGCTCTGTATATGGCTCTATCGCTATCGTTTATCTGCATATGCTTCCTACTGCGAACGGTATGGCGCACACATTGCCACTGCATGTGCACCCATCTGTTTTGCATATATCTTCAATATATCTAATAACCGCGCCGAGACTGCTAAATCATATGGTATTTCGGCATAACGCGTTTTGTCAGCGCTCGATTATTATAGATCAGTTACTATTTGTGTAGATTCGTCCTCCTATGAGAGTGGGCTGAATTGTGTAGCATTACGAACAGCCATATGTTTCCTTTTCGCGTTTTGGCGTCACATTACATATTTTCTAAGAAAGGATTCGGTTAGAAGACGAGAAACCGTAACACCTGCCAGTGCAAACCGCCATCCATGTATTTTGTTAGAGTTTTTCTTAGATAGCAAAGCAAACCTCCCGGGATCTTGAACATCGTGAGTCAAATCGAGAGAAAAACAATCTAACTGCAAACAACAAAACAATTATAATAGCTACTTTGCCGGTGTTATCTATACCTTGCAATGAGGAATATTCTCAAATGTCATCTAATACGTTAGAAGCCAGTCCCAGTCACGTGATCAAGCCAACTGAATAGACCAAGCGCCCATTTTAATTCTATGTTGAATCGGTAGTTGGTCCTTAGACCGGCTTTGCCTGCGCGTGAACACAGCGAACAATAAATGTTTCACTTTCATGAAATGCAGGTGGAGATTGTTTCCGTCTCGTGCTAATATCTCGGCAGCATCTGAGTAAACGCTCGGGAAAACTGAATGAGAAATGATCCCCTTGCCCCGGGCGCATTGGCATTGTGAGATTCGCACATATATGCGTGTGTACAACGTATATATATATATACACGAGCGTTTTTGACATCGGGTAAAAACGTTTTTACGTAGCAAATTAAATACGGCGTGTGTGTGTGCGTGCGTCCGTGCGTGCGTGTGTGTGTGTGTGTGCGTGCGTGTGTGTGCGTGCGTGCGTGTGTGTGTGCGCGCGCGCGCGCGTTACTATAATCGCCGCATTCATGAATGAGCTCCGTCTGTGATGATACTGCTCTGCAATGTGTAGGTAACAGGGAACAGAGAAAACTGTCAGCATACAAGCGCTACACCTATCCTGGCTATCCAGGTGCAGTGCCTATTGAGTCATGTTACGATATCTATCGTAAGATCTGATGTAGCCTCAGGTCGCTTGTTCGAGGCTATTATATGCAACCATTTATGGACAGCACCATCGGCATACACGAGAATGTATTATAGTATCGCTGGTTCACACTATACCTTTCCTAGCACTCAGCAGAATGAGGTCTGTCTCCTACAGTGTGCACGTACATCTGTAAATACAACTACTGTGTATAAATCTAGTAATTAAACTGGTCGAAAATATTTAGGTAAAATTGTGTGCGTGCGTACGTATGTGTGTTTGCGCTCATTAAAGTATATGCGATAGGAACTTGACATAGGCTACCGCACATACCTATATTATCAGGAGTGTATAATAATAGAATCTGAATAGAATAGAATGTAAATAGAATATTATTATGATACACTCCTGATATTATTATGTATATCTGCATTTGCGGGTTCTAATTATACGCACATGTATTGCCAGTCTGTGTTCAACTCGCGTTTACCAGTGATCAATATCTCGCCGTTGTTGTACTTCTGAGCGGGGTGGGTGCTTTCAGTGAGATCTTTTCACGCCCGGGATATCATAAATTTTCATGATATCATTTGTAAGTTATTATAAGCTATATACATCGCCTTAGTTTTGAACAACTTATATTTTTTCATAACACTCCGTAGCTGTTCACGTAATACTATATTTAGCCATCGACCGCCAATATATACTACTCATGACGAAGGATACCAATTTCAAGATTTACAAGCTTCCTCTCTAGTCTGCACACCTGGCCTGTGCACCTGACGTTAACACACCTGCCCCATACCAGGCCCTCAAATGACCTTGAACGATTTGTGTGGCGGGAAGACAACAATAGCCACGTGCGTACGGTAGCATGTGACAGCCGGATAAGACGCGAGCTGCGCGTGCTGACCAGCGACTCACCCCTTGCAAAAGTGGCACGACCCGCTCAGTACACCGCGCCATATGTGCAGCTGTCCCTGTTCAGTGAAGAATGCAGGCAACACGTGCGAGCAGGCAGTATACTGCGGTCTTCCACCGTCGTACGTTCTTGTACGTCGCATAGTGAGAGCATGCATGGCAGCTACGAACTTACACTGACTAGTTTACGCGCTAGCAAGCGTTTCGACTATAGGGAATCATCTATCGCCGTTGACTGTTATAATTGTGCGAACTGAACCGTAGGCTTCAGCCAGTTTATCTTAGCCGGTGCAACTGAAACGTGACTCGAGAAGGGAAGAACGCGGGAGCGAGACCTAGCTCTTCCAAGACGGAGAATCGCTGCCGTGCATGTTGTGGTTGAACGGAAATAACCCAGAGCCAGATTCGAGCAACCGAATGTCCATGATCTGCTTGCAGGATATTGTCAGTAAGTTTGCGTCAATGTAATCAAAGCTAGTATAGTTCTAGAGGCTAGAGCTAAGTATCAATTAGCTCCAAGAAACGGTATTGCTAGGGTTAGAATACCCCTAGTATTGACGTGTATTGCGGTGTATTGACGTTAGTCACACAGCCTGGTCGGGTTAAGTATCAATACTATTACTTATTAGTATTACCACTAGCAACAAGGTGTGAGATATTTTTGCCCGCATACTGATAGGTTATGTTTAATATACGTTATATATATGTACCTATATGTTTAATGCTATTGTGAGGCCTTCGGCGAGAGAAAACGTTGTGTTGTGTCATTGACGAAGAAGCCACGTACGTGAGCAATGGTTGTAATATTTTGCCTTTGAACTTACCTGGCAATATGCACAATCCTAGTTTGGAACCCCGACCTTCATTTTCGCAAATGTGCTAAACTAATCCACATGCACTTGGAACGTCTCAATAACTTTGGTAGTAAATACATTTCGTGTTTATTTACCTTTTTTTTTTATTGAGACGTTCCAAGTGCCTGTGAACTAATCCGGGGTGCTAAACTAGGATTGGGCCCTGGAAATATTTTCAGTTCTCCAAACAAAACAGCCATCAAAGGGTGATAGAAAACAACCCGGACTGTGCATTTTCCATAGTATATATTACGCCGTGTGTTTCACGTACCATAACAATAATGTAGCAACCACAGGCACTTGGAACGTCTCAATAAAATAAAATAAAGGTAAATAAACACGAAATGTATTTACTACGGTACCAAAGTCTTAATGTTTCTCTACTCTATTTCGCCTATAATCACCTGTAAATGCCGGTCAAATGCTCATCTGCAACACACAAGTACACCGCACACCCGCCCTGTGCACAAACAACATGAATAAGAGAGATCATCAATCTTGAGATGATCAATATAATCTCTCTTATTCATGTTGTTTGTGCACAGGGCGGGCGTGCAGTGTACTTGTGTGTTGCAGATGAGCATTTGACCGGCATTTACAGGTGATTATAGGCGAAATAGAGTAGAGAAACATTAAGACTGGTAGTAAATACATTTTGTGTTTATTTACCTTTTTTTTTTTATTGAGACGTTCCAAATGCCTGTGGTAGCTCGACCAGGCTGTGCGACCGATTGTCTATATTACCCTATATTACCTATGGTCTTCTAACCCTAGCAAGACCGTTTCTTGGAGCTACCTGTGGAAGCTCTAGTACTGCACGAAGGGTCGTTGTCGTATAGGGTACTACATATATGTACCCGAGGTAACTATCTGATATGGTTAGGGTTAGGGAGTAGGCGTAGGCGACTCCCTAGACTAGCATTATATAGTCCCTATACGACAACGACCCTTTCGTTAGGGTTTAAGGGTTCTCCAAGAGCACTTATAGCCTGGCGGCCCGCCAGGCTATCGTCGAGCCCCGCCATCCTAAAATGCACCCGCCACTATAAATATCATAGCCCCCGGACCCCCCTAGCACGCAAACCGCCTTCGACGATTTGCAACTAGGACCGTAAAGGCAGCACCCGCCATGCTATAATGAAAAAGCTTGGAGAACCCTGGGTTAGGGTTAGGGAGTAGGCGTAGGCGACTCCCTAGACTAGCATTATATAGTCCCTATACGACAACAACGACCCCTTGAGCTATAGTACTAGAGCTATGCCTGTGGCAGAGCGAAGGGCTATATTGCCTATATAGTTCTGTAACTTCTGTTCTAGAGCTGTGTGTACTGTGTAGCTCAGGTACGCAATCATGTCTAAACAGATAGCTGCCCCTTCTAGTAGTTGTAGTGGCGCAAATACTATAGCCCACATGTATATATATATACATCTTTATTTCGTGATTATCCATAGGTTCTAGTGCGTACTGCAGTGTGAGTAAACAATTTACATTTATAGAACCACTAATTACTTGGACTGAATGCAGTACGTGCTGAATCTTGTGTCTTTTTGCATTTCCATAAGCCTTTCATTAAATTCATGAGACCTTTAAATAATTTATAAGCGCAACAATTTTTAATTTTTTTTTTTCCCAGAACACCTTTTCACTAGCAATAACAATAATGTTGCGTTTCACTTCCTGCGCATGGTAAATTATTCCGCGGTTGGAAGTTATTCCTGAATATATATCTACCACTACCAGGCATCTACATTTACAGTAATATTGTTGAGCTGTTAATGAAATATGAAAAATTTATAACACCAGTCCAGCTGGCATACACTGTTTTGTACTTGCACCACCACATTGATTACATAGACCCTTGTATGCACGCAGCCGTGTGTACCTGCCCCTAGGGCTTGCCAACCCAATTGTCCAAAGGGGAAAGGCTCGTGTATATTAGCGATATCAAATTATTTCATATTTTTCTATATTTTGTGCATGTAAAGCCATGTGGTCCTTGGTTGTTGATGTTTTAGTCACTGGAAAGTTTGCCAGGGTTGAATTTTCTAAAATTGTTACACGGCTGCATGTGCGCAATTGTGGGAAAATGTTTAAAAAAATGCAGTTCACATGACCAATCAAGTGTGATCCTGTTACTTCTTTCCTCTGGGAAAACACAAGACTTCCCACATGGATCGGGTTCTGTGATGGGTGTGTGGCACGCACATGGCCAGGAACACCATCAGTTAGTATAAATTGCCGCACATGCAAACCAGGATGCGGCAGTGGGTGTCACCATTTAACAAGAACCATCCGCTTTTTGATGTCTGATGATTCCTGATGGCACAGAAGGTAGCGAGCCCGAATTGAGGAGTGATCAGGGTTATGTAACATTCAGGGTGGCTGGGAACAGCTGCTGGGGAGCTCGGGTATCGCTGCTCGTAACTATAACCCGGGGAGCTCACTTCCCAATATGCCCGGTTTACATGCCAGGCGTTCCTTCCCCGTGCTACACTGGTAAACCAGGAAGCACAAGCATTCCGACACTTGGCTAACATCAGGCAAACACATGTCGGTTGTCCATCATCTGTGCTAGTCATGAGAGCCGCGCAGCCGAAATGTACAAACGCCTGTTGTTTTGACTAAGTGTGAGGTGGGTACATAAACTCCATTGCACTCAGCTTAGTTCTGCTAAGCAATGACAAGAATTTCGTGGCGAAGCTGTGGCTTTTAGGTCGTTAGTGTCCCAAACGAGAGCACACTATCATTATCAACCAATAATGGTAAGTAAAGGAAACTAATCTTCCTGTTTTATTATTTCATTATATATATCAAGGATCGTGCTAGCAATTGTCACTGGATTCGCTGTATGTTTTATGTTAAACTCACAACGAAGGAACGTCGCTGATGCAGAGATGCACTTAATTCATTACTGATGTAAAACTGAGTTTTTATCACTGCTATTCTTTATAGATCTGCTGTCACATTTTTGCGCATTCTGGTATCTTTCTTATTGTAAACGCATAAATGCTTCTGCTAATACGCCAGCCATCTGCCACATGTGCATGCATGCTTTGTCTACAAGGAATTTGTTCATACAATTGATGGAAAGAATTTTAAATGTGCACATACTGACACTAGCTTCATGAACGAAATCTTGGTAAAATAAAGTGACGTTATTCAACCCAATTTCTTTGCCATCATTTATCACTAAACATGTACAATTGATTCGCCTCCTCGTAGCAGGACTGTCACAAAGTTCTGTGGGATTTATCAATTGTTACATTTTTTCAGTTAATTTATGTTTTCAATTCTTAAACGTTATGTATGTAAATATTGTTGCTAGTTATCATATTATATAAATATATCTAGTAAAAAGAACTATACTGTGTAACTGCCAGGCCGAATGTTGGCGTCATATGGATGAAAGTTCGCGCAGTGAAATTTGAATGTTATGTGAGTAATCCACAGCAGATGCATCTGTTATTAGACTATGACTCATTCCACAAGTCTACATTTCTATTATGGTATTGTTTTTATTTGTATATTTTTTGTTTTTCGTATAAAAAAGTAAATATCTCATTTCATTTCTTGAATACACGTGTTGGTTGCTGCTTCACATACTTGCACATAGATTGATACCAAATTTATGTTTGATCTTTTTCATTCTTGGTAAAAAAAAACTACTGCTGGCATTTAGTTTTTCCTACATAAACAGCTACCCAGAAGAAGAGCAAGTATCAAGTCTTATGTGACAGTTAGCAGCCCATATGGCTAGCAAAAAGGAAAACATTGTACGGCGCCAAACACCCATGGCTCAGTCTATACAAGGCTACCACATGGGAGAAGTTGGAATTTTTCACATGCCACAGAGTTAATATAATTGCCAGATGTGCGCTGATTGCTTGGAGCCACATGGCCAATATAGAACCAGCACAGGTCAGATGATAGCGCCTATATCACTCCCCTTCCTCAACATGGATTTTGAAACACCTTTTAAATAAACCAGATGTGAAAGGAAGGAATGCTGTAACACAGCACTAGTTCATCGTGTAAACAGGACAGCCTGCATTTTGGCAGGGTTGGTACGGCAGCTGCACACACTCACGCGAGCGAGCGAGCGAGCACGCGCTTTTAGCATACACACAACTGTGACAGCTGGAAGACACCCTACAAAGTTCATGCTTTGAGTTCTTGAAACATGGAGCCACCGCGAATACCGCCGTCCCGCTTTATTGGCTCAACTGCATCGCGGTCGTGCTTTCCTATATATGCGGCGTGCATCTTGGCTAGCATGGCGATAATCTATCACGCTGCTGACATACAATACTGGCAATCAAGACCTTACATGTAGAGTGCACGCAGAAGTTGTAGGCAGATGATGCGCGTGTATTTGTCAGCATATGTCGTAGTTATTCCGGAGATCTGCGCGTACATGTGTTGTCTGCACATTCTACTTGACATCGCCTGCCGTAGATGACAGACAAATTTTGCCTTTTAATGCAGTTTTTCCCTAATCGATGAATTCCCAATTGCTGAATCATCGCCTGTTGTTACATACATGTTTTGTGCACATGTATGTAAATAGCTTATATACACCATGTACATAATTTAT